ACACACACACACACACACACACACACACACAAGGTAGGTTAAATTAGCTTGGCTGTACAAAATAGCCTTAAAAAACAGATCATGAACTGATATTTTGCCATATTACCCAACCCTAGAACAGACTGTCATGAAAATCATTCAAAATTCCTGTATTTTTAAATGGAACCATTTATGAACCACAATTCCCAGCCCCAATTTACAATGAACTCTTCCTCAACTGTCCACTTGAGTATGGTTCAATAATTTGTGAATCAATAACTGCACTGGTTTCACAATAATTTTCTTTCAGGATTCATCAATACGATTTTCAAACCAAGCCCTAGCTAGGTTGACTGTCTGAGCATTATGTCATAATTGAAAGTGTAATGAAGTAGTAGAACAGGAAAAAATTGGATGTGCAGGCAGGTGTTTGTTTTACAGAGTGATTAGATGTCATCAAGGGTGACATTTGAGTGCTTAGTGTAAAACAGAATGAGAGAAAACAAAAGAGAGAGAGACCCAGAGACCCAAATCAGTGGCTCTCGTCCCACAGGCATCAGCACACCTCTGAGAGACAGAGCCCTCCACTACAAATAGCTGCACAGCTGCTCATACAGTGCATTTTGTAACTGAATAGACACTGACTAGATTTAGGTTGAAATCTCTCTCTTGCATTGCTGTTAGCGATTACACTGACCAACGAGAGCAATTATAGTACAATTTGTTTTCTCGCTGTGAGAAATGCTCTTTTTCTTAGAAATAACATGCACTGAAGAATCGACTTTAGAGAACCCCTGTATCATTAGGTTGGTTTAGTCAAATTCACCAGACACATTTTTAGCGATAGATAGATGCATCATAGCCCTTCAGTAAGGCAACTGACAGATATTTAATAGGTTAAATAAACATAACCTTTCAATGCAAAAATCTGTCATAATCTTTACAAAAAAATAAAAAGAGCAAGAGAGAGATCTAGGCAATATGCATAATAATTTATGAATTTCTTATAGCCTCGGATTTGAAGTCTGACAAACCTTAAAAGCACTACACTAAAAAAATACATATCTAATAAATGATACTACTTTACCTCACTAATCAACTAGTTCATCCTTCAGCAGATCACCCATTATTATTTCAAACCAGGGTTATTATCATTAGCTCAAACTAAAATTTTAAAAACAATTTTGTTCATTGAAAAATATGATGTGATAAACTTTAAATGAAAATAGTATATAAATAATACTAAATAACATCATTTCAAACCCACACTGCATCACCTCGTCATCTCATCACCTGTGACACTGAAACAAGCAAAATGATGAAAATACAAGCAATTATATTAGCTATATATAAGCTATCATATTACAATATTACAATAATATATTGTGGTAAATAATGTACTATTACAATGAATGGGGACTGCATCTTTAAAGTATGCAGAAACACCACTGAAGTGGCAAGGAAGTATCCAAAAAAATAGTCCACATGGTTTATGTCTTATGAATAATAACAAGACAAAATTTGAAGTCATGTGAAACATCTTGATTTCTAAACTTGTCATTTTAAGGTTGCTCTCACACAAAGTTATTAAATAGCTACCAGCTATATGTAAATACCAGCTATAGTTGCCTTGCTGTCGATCAATAAACCACAGAGTACACCAGTATTAAAATATTAATTAAATCAGAAATTTCCTTCTTGGACAACTATCCCTTTAAATGTAAATACCAGCTATAGTTGCCTTGCTGTCGATCAATAAACCACAGAGTACACCAGTATTAAAATATTAATTAAAAAACACATCCACTTAAAACGGAAGCATCTGAGAATATACAGCAAAAAAAATAAATAAATTGAACTACTGAAGTGATGCGCTTTCATTGCAGTGTTTTGTACTCAAGGCAACAAAGGTACAGAGGTAGAGTGTGAGAAACAGCATTAGAAACAGGAAGAAAAGATGAGAGAAAGTGAGAGAGAGATTGCTTGTAGCATACTGCCGGAAGGACAAAGCCGACCTAGACTGAATACTAAGCAAAACAGACAGCAGCAGATGCTAGCAGCAGTCTGTTGTCAGAGGAAATGCCTCCCACACGACAACAGAGAAAAGAGCACACAGGCAAACGCAGGCCAAAGGGATCCCCCTGGAGCACAACATCCCTATTACAAAGAGGACCGGGCAAAACCGCTCACTTTATAGAACTTTATAGGCCCTATACAAGACAGACTAGCAGGAGGAAGGAGTTTTATGAAGTAGCCCACTGGCTTCAAAATACTAGAGGTGCTGCCAAAATGAGCATTTGGATTTGTTTATTTGAGTCTGTCACACACTCAAATGCTAACCATCCGTTTCTCAGGACGGTTCTTACCTTGGCTTTGTTGATAGTGCAGTGCAGGGCATTGTTCTCCTGATCGTACAGAAGGCTGAAGTCCAGCGTGCCGAGCGTAGCTGCAAGGAAACAGACATAAAAAACTTCAACAAAACAGTTCATCTCCAGGGCAGACCACAGCACATATGCAACAACAATTAGCAAGCTGTTTAAGCCATATTTCGCTCCTCCAGAGACCATCTGATGTCAATTGCACATAAAAAGGCAAAGAGCTTTCTCAATCTGGCAAGCTCTAATTTGAATTTGATTGGCTGTCTGCTATCAGGGTTGCAAACGTTTCTACAAGGCTGCTAGGAGCACTTCTGATATGTTGCATCGAAATTTGATATTGTTTAATGTACTTAGTAGCAACTTGATATCAACGAGCAGAACTGTATAAGGGACAGCAGTAGTGTTGGGTCGTTCTTGAACGATTCGTTCATTTTGAACGAATCTTTAATGTGACTCGGGAAGAACGAGTCGTCTCGGGGAGTGATTCGTTCAGACGCGCATGCGTAACATCCTATAGGTTCTGTACTGGAATTAGTCAAGTAGTTCACCTGTTTCGAGTCTTCGGGTTTTTCCAAGTCATTAATTCATCACATGACAGCCCCATAAGTTTAACCAATGCAGTGTGAGCCGGAAAGATATTTGATTAGTTAATCTCTCGAGTCTTCGGGTTTTTCGGGTCGTTCGTTCATCACGTGACAGACCCATAAGTTTAACCAATGCAGTCTGAGCCGGAAAGATATTTGATTAGTTAATCTCTCGAATCTTCGGGTTTTTCGGGTCGTTTGTTCATCACGTGACAGACCCATAAGCTTAACCTATGCAGTCCGAGCCGGAAAGAGAATTGATTAGTTCATCTCTCGAGTCTTCGGGTTTTTCGAGTCGTTCGTTCATCAAGGAACCATCATGACAGAAATTCACACATTTACAAACTGTAAGAAGTAAAAAGCTACAATTTGAGACCAGAAACGCATCACGTAACTGTAAGAGTAAATAATTATAATAATGATGATAATAATAATAATAACTATGCACCCGTTTGTAAGGAAGCTTGTAAATTAACTAATAAATATGTGAAGTTTTAAACATTTTACTCACCCTGTGATGGAGAGAGGCCCATGGAATACTTGGTAATTAAATTTTTTTTTTGCTGTTCAATAATAATAATAATAATAATAATAATTAAAATAAATATATAAACAAATAATAAATAAATATTTATTTTTGATCAAATAAATTCAGCCTTGGTGAGCATAAGAGACTCAATTAAAAAAAAAAATCGTACCAACCAACAAGTTAACAATGACAAGATATGAGACTAATGATACATTATAACTAAGGGAAATATAATCCATTGTAACTTAAGTGGCTGCATTGTGTTCATTGTGTGTTATAAATCATCATACTCTAAAAAGCTATAACCACAAATAAGTAAATATTATAATGCATTAAAACTGTTGTTCTGATTACTCATGAGATGATACAACATATACGTTTTTTTTTTAAATAATACATACTGCATTATGGGAGATAGAAAGAAAAAGGAGGAGAGAAACTGTGCTTTTCTCCACTATTCTTTGAATATTTGGACCTTCCCCACTGATGAGTGTCAAGTCAATAGTCCTGTAGAGTGTCACGCATTTGAAAGTGAACCTCCCTGCTGATTCTGCCTCGTATGAATGTGGCCATGAGAAACAGAGTCAAATCTCATATGGACTCCTAGCAGGCGGCCTTCAGCTCCACTCTGCAGAGAGCATCTTGAGTTCAAGGGCATCCATCATTAAACAAACTAGAGTAATCAAACAACCTTACCCTTAAACCAATTACCCTCAGCAAGATGACTGAGGAAAAACTCCTCTGGCTTGAATTTTGATCTAATTTGTATAAAATAACATCAGATTGAGGGTACCATATCACTTTAAGTAACGACGCCCCGTAAAAGTTCTTGCTGTATGAGTTTCAACAAAAAATGTTTGGGTGAACTATCCCTTTAATGCCTTATGTCCTCCTCCCGTTTGTGTGCGTGTATTCTTATATGACGAGAGGAATCAGCGGGATTAAACCAGGCCTGTGTTTAATTTCCTAAACTGGTACCAGCAATGCATGACTTCAATCTCTAATGTAGACAGCATTGCCATCAGTGATGGGCTTTTCCCTTCTGCAATTATGATAAATTGTATTATCTTATGCTATTTCACCCATAAAGGCTATGAATAGAGTATAAGGATGGAGAAAATTATGTTGTTCAGTTCACAATACAGCAAAAAAAAGAAAAAAGAAAAAAAGGTGTCGGTTGTGTTCGAAATGCTAAATATGGATTTTGTTCATAGATAGTGTGATAATGAGAGTGACAAATGCATTCGACAACTTAAGTGACTCTCCTAAATTTTGTCGAGTATATGTAGGAAAACTTGCTCATATGCTTGTGTGATAACATCTCATAAGCTTTTCCCAAATTCTGTTATATTTTTTCTAAAATTCTCACGGTAACACTTTAGTATAGGGACCGATTCTCACTATTAACTAGTTGCTTATTAGCATGCCTATTATTAACATATTGACTGTTTATTAGTACTTACACTGAACAAAATTATAAACGCAACACTTCTATTAATAAGCAGCAAATTAGGAATTTATTGAGGAAAAAGTAGTAGTTAATGTTTTGTTAATGGCAAGAATTGGACCTTAAAGTAAAGTGTGACCATTCTCACAAATTGTTTTGTTTAATTTTTTTTATTCAGTTTTAATGGTTTAATTAAATTATAATAATCAAAAATTACATATAATAAACAGAATAATTTAATAATTTATTAAACTTTAATAATAATAGTTCCTTATGAAAGGTGTTTTTTTCAGAAATTGTGTTGACTTTTAATTTTTCTCGATTCTGTTTTTCATTATTCATTACAAATGTATTATCAAAATCGTAGTAATCAAATGAATTTAAAAAAATTCTAAATTAGATTTTTTTTTTAAATGTAATCAAATGAAATTTGAAACAAAGTGCTGCACAACAAAGGTTTACTGTTTAAATTAAATAATGCATTTACTGTTTAAAATAAATGGTGTGATATTCCTTAAAAATGGCTTTAATAAACTGTATTATTATTGTTATTATTACTTTGATAATGATATTCTACTGTATAACAGCAATATATTTAGCAATATATTTTTGATCAGATATGCAATGAACATCACACATAACTTAAAGGCCAAAACCATCCATGTAAATAGCGCAGTAATCAGTAAATCAATGAACAGTAAAGCAGTAGTTTGCATGATTCCATAAAGGGTTAGTTCACTCAAAAATGAAAATTCTGTCATTAATTACTCACCCTAATGTCGTTCCACACCCCTAAGACCTTCGTTCATCTTCAGAACACAAATTAAGATATTTTTGATCAAATCCAATGGCTCAGAGAGGCCTCCATTGACAGCAACGCCACCCAAACTCTCAAGATCCATAAAGGTACTAAAGACATCGTTAAAACAGTCGACGTGATTACAGTGGTTCTACAATAATTTTATGAAGCGACGAGAATACTTTTTGTTCTCAAAAACAAAACAAAAATAACTTTATTCAGCAATCTCTTCTCTTCCGTCATTATCCTTACGCGGTTAACGCAGTAAGCACAGTGAAGGCTTCCGTGTTCTACGTCCGAACGCCGGCTCATTATTGGCCAAAGCTGCACATGTGAGGAGCATGACGCATGCGTGTGATGCTGATGCAGGAGCCGTCCAATAATGAGCCGGCGTTCTGACATAGAACCTGGAAGTAGAGACCTGCACTCCCGCGGGACCCAACGTAACAGGGTGCGGCGCGGGACAACTCTTGATGGGCGAGTGTGGGTGTGTGGGATGCGGGAGAATAAAATGATTTGCGTGACTCCCGCAAAATAGAAATGATCTAAACAAAGTGTTTAAAACATATAAATTGTTATTTATCTGTTGCACAAAAGCAAAAAGAACAACTAATATTAACATTAAAATGGAAGCGCTGGATGTAAACAACAGATGAGAATGACACAGAAGAGAAGAGGTTGTTGAATAAAGTTGTTCTTTTTGTTTTTGCGCACAAAAAGTATTCTCGTCGCTTCATAAAATAATTGTAGAACCACTGCAATCACGTCAACTGTTTTAACGATGTCTTTAGTACCTTTATGGATCTTGAGAGTTTGGGTGGCGTTGCTGTCAATGGAGGCCTCTCTGAGCCATCGGATTTGATCAAAAATATCTTAATTTGTGTTCTGAAGATGAACGAAGGTCTTAGGGGTGTGGAACGACATGAGGGTGAGTAATTAATGACAGAAGTTTCATTTTTGGGTGAACTAACCCTTTAATGCTGCTGTGCACTAGGAACCTTGGTCCTGCCTACAGCACAGCAGACATCACTGTCATCTTTTAAGGCAAACTTAAAGGGAAAGTTCACCCAAAATTAATATTCTGTCATCAATTAAACACCCTCCCTCCTCATGTCATTCCATTATATTTCATTGGACCACCTTTAGCTTTGATTATATTGTGCATTCATTGTGGCATTGTTTCAACAATGTTATGCAATGTCACAACATTTATTTCCATCAAGAGTTGCATTAATTTTTGGCTGAGATCTTGTATTGACATTAGGAGAGTCAAACCACTCTGTAAAGTCGGCTCCAGCACACCCTAAATACTTTCAATAGGGTTAAGCTCAGGACTCTATGGTGACCAATTCATGTATGAAAATAATTTATCATGCTCACTGAACCACTCTTTCATAGTTTGAGCCTCATGAATCTTGGCATTGTCATCCTGGAATTTGGACATGGATACGTCTTCCAACATGGTTGTTTGAGAAACAAAAAGCTACACACTGCATCAATTAGGGTTGAAAGCATTGTTGCCAAACATACAACATGCCAGAAACATATTAATCACGGATTAATGATTAAATCCTAAAATCTTAAGTGTTTGCTTATTTAAATCAAATGGCTCCTTTTGTTTGGCAAGGGAGTGTATTTTTTAATAAACTTGATAGATTTCTGTCCTTCCATTCGAAGTCAAAGCAACCAAAACTTTCAAGGTTCAAAAA